TTATAAGAGATATGTATCTTGTTATTCTTGTCACGTAAATGGAAAGTCTTTTTTTGATTTTAAAGTTCATTGTGAAATATTTTATATTCGAAGATAATTAATTATAATATTTTAATTAATTATATACTTTAATTTACTTTATAATTTTAATATATACTTTAATTTAAGGAATCTTTCAAATATCACTTATAAGCCACATAGTTTTATTGGTAAAAAAAAAAACAAGAGTTTCGAGTTCTTTCGATCCTTAAGTGATTATGTGATACAATTTATTTAATTATTTAATTTATTATTAGTAAAAAAATAAAAAAAAATAAAAAAAAAAAGGTAAAAAATAAAGATAAAAAAGTTTTACTTTTTTAAAATATTTATATTTATATATATATATATACAAATATATATATTTTCTCTTAAAAAAGCTGTTTCCCAACTAGAAATAAAAAATTTGTTTTTTGATACGATTTTGCATCATACAACGCGAATCCTTTGATTTGATTTGATTTTTTTTTTGTATAACCAAATGTTATCTAACATTTTAAAAAATTTATTTTTAGATAAAGATTACAACTTTAATTTCTTTAAAAGTAGAAAATCAAAGATCTAAAATTAGGTTATCTTTTATTATTGGCTGATTTAAATTTAAAATTAGAATTGATCCTAACTTTATTTAGTTTGGTTTGATCGATCATTATCAAAAAAGGAATTTTTTTTATAAATAACTTTTACAAATTTTGGTAAATTAAATAGATTGGCGCAATCGGCAAATTCAAAAACTTAATCGATTATTACCATTAATTGCATTTTATTACCTAAACAAATATTATAATAAAAAATATTTTGGAAAAAATGTTATCGTCACCCGCGAAATTGTACTATAATGGATATTGAGAAACGTTAATCTAACCTAATCTGATTTATTTGTTTTTACTTTAAAATAATCCACTCCTTAAAAAATAAAATAATATAAAATAAAAAAAAATATATACAAAGAAACCAAATTTAATATTTCATTTGAAATTTCTTTTTTTAAAAAAATCGAATCAAATAAAATTAAAGTAAAGAAATTTAAACATAGTAGAAAAATATGGAAATCATGGTAAAATGTTCGTGTATTACTATTTTAAAAATATGGGGAAACTCACGATTCAATTTTTGGTAATCTGTAAAATAAAAATCTTGATTTTAATGTGATATCACTTATATTCTGGCGTAATCTTTGTTATTATCAGGAGCCAAATTACTATATAAATTATCATTAACTTAATACGAGAAATTTTTCCTGTTTCATGTCATTGCGCTGAACTTTTTTAGGTAATACTAATGTCATGAATCCTAAGTATCCTAATCCTAAACAATAATATTAAGATATGAAACGTGGTAAAAAAGAAAGATTTCGATTAATTAAATAAAGAAAAAAAAAATGAGATGAAAAAATGAAACTTTTCAACATACAAACATACTGTACAAACAGATTATAAAAGGAAATCGGAGATTTTGTTTCAAACAAAAACAAAAAATAAAATTTTTTAAACTGTATAAACTGTATGATTAATGTGATACTTTATTCTGGTAGTTAACTTCGTGATATAATTACCTAAATGGTCTAAATGGTAAATAAAAAAAATTATGCAGCGAAGGGGGGGAATAAAAAAAAAAAAAAATTCTTATTGTTTCATATCCCTGCGTTGTAACTTATGATTTTAATATTGTTTCATTTTCTCTCTCTATCTGCTAGTATACACACTACTATACTATACACAATTTTTAAATTTTACTCCCCTGTCCTTTGTTATCTTATATTGTGTTTAATTATTGTTTATATTGAATCTCATTATTATTCTAAAAACATTTGTTTCTTTTATTTCTTGTTTGTTTTTCTCAATGAAATTTTTATATTTTCGTAAAATAATTTTAATGTATTTAAAAGTACAAAAAAATTATACAAAAAAGAATATATACATATATTATGTAATGAATTTGGTCATCGGATAGATGCAGTTTGCCAAGCAGTCATTTTGTTTTTCATAAATATTAAATATTAATATTATGTGATAAAGTGACAATAACCGGCTTTTATTTACGATATATTATTTTCATTTATTTATTTATTTTTTTTTTAAAAAAACAATATTTAATGTTGGAAAAAAAAAAAACATTTGGTAAATATTTTGAAAATTATATTAAAGACAAAGAAATACAAAGAAACAAAGGAAATTTTTTTTAGTTTCTATATCGGTCAAATTATATATTAATTTGGAAAATGTAATAATTATGAAAAAATGAAATATGATAATATTAACGGATAAGAATAAATCAATCAAACGCGAGATTTTGTGAACAATCGTGATTCGTGACACAGTCAAAAACCCGAAATTCTTGATGATGGTAGTTACAACTTACAAACTTACAACGTGTTAGTACATTATTGACTACACTAGAAAATAATCCTAAACTATAAAGTAATAAGTACTAAACTAATCCTCCAATAGGACCGACCGCCTTGCCATTAACAAAATGATGTGTCATACATATTTGTATCAATTTTACGAACTTTATAGTTTAAATGTCATATGATCGCGGAATTTAATGAACTTACCGAGTTATTAATTGAGTTTTAATACGTAAATTTGGAATTACTACAATATATCAACTTAGCATACACAGACCAAAGATATTTTGACCAAATTACCACCTAAATTCTACCAGAATTAAGAATTTTAAGCCGTATATTAATTAGGATACTCCCTGTACGGTAAATAACTAATACGTAAATTTGGTATAACTAGTAGTTGTATTGCACAAGATACACTATACACTACTTACAGTACTTGATCAAGACCATGCCATTTTATGATATTTTGGCTAAAAATTAACCTAAATTCTAATAAATTCTACCAGAATTAAGAATTTTAGGCCGTATATTAATTAGGATACTCCCTGTACGGTAAATAACTAATACGTAAATTTGGTATAACTAGTAGTTGTATTGCACAAGATACACCATGACATTTTATGATATTTTGGCTAAAATTAACCTAAATTCTAATAAATTCTACCAGAATTAAGAATTTTAGGCCGTATATTATATCGGATCTCTAAAGTCTATAACTTAGGATACTCGATACTCTCATCAGAGAATACGTCTTTTCCCGTACAGTATATAAACGAATAATTCGTATTATCTATTTTATCAACATTAACAAAAGCTAAAAAAAAAAAATCGTCAAAAAATAACTCCAAATTTTTCCAACAGTCACATGACTTTTACACGTTTTTTTTTCGAAATAACGCGTAATAAGTTACAGACTTACAGTATCATGTTAATTTTATAGAAAAATGTAAAGGTGAACTGGTCTTAACGAAGAATGGGTTATAACTTATAAGATAATATGGTCAAATAATTAAAGCTTAGAATTAATTAAGACAATTTTGTGATTAGTACCACTTTTTTGTCGTACGATTTTTGTGAAAACTTTGTTCGACTTTAAATAGATGACACACAGATCTCTTTAAGGAATTAAGGTATTCGGCAGCTTATAATATGAATATTAGCCTGTATATTATTTTTTTTAATGTCGTGCAAATTATAAATCGTTCTAACGAAGTTTAAAAAATAATTTTATTATTTATTTTCAAATAGGTTGAAGCATATTTTCTTAAAAATATTAACAATTATTTTGGTATTTTAATATATGGGATCCAGATACGTGAATTAATGGATTCTTTTAAAAAATACACCAAAAAAATAAGTATCTTTTTAAAATAATAAAAACTTTATTATCCAAATTTATTTACTTTTCAGGTCACTCTAAGGTAATTTCAAAATTGTTAAATGATCTAAGATGAAAATGCTTTTTGAACAAGCCCAGTGATGTGCTCTTGGCACTATTGGAAGCACCTTTAGAAAGATTGGAAGCATAATTTTCTAATAAAACCATTTAGATTGAAAACTTCCAACCAAATTTTTATATTATTGGAAGTACAAAAGCACATCACTGGACAAGCTGAAAGTGCTGCTTCCCCTGAAATGTCAGTCGCAATTCTTTATTGTAACCATCAATATGCAATCTAATGTAATCCATTCAAGAATTCTAGCCTACGCGATGGAAATTTTTAGCAAATCCTCCAATAAATATTCCTATCAATAGAATGATAGAATGTTTAGTAAAATCAGTTTGCGGTCTTTAAATTTCTGTTTGTGATTCCTTCGACAAAACCAAAGATTAATGTGATTAGTAGTGGGTCGAAAAAAACTAGTAGTAAGAATTAATTCATAATTTTTTAGAAAATTCTTGTAAATAGTTAGCAGAAAATTGATTCCTAGTTATTAGTAATTTCAGTTATGCTAATTTTTTTTGGTTTAAAAAACGTTATGATACCCATTCGGTTCGTTTGAAATTTGTCTTAAAAATACTATAAATAACATGTGAAAAACCTGGATGAGACTGGTTAAACTAGTTGATCTTGGATGAGAAAAATCCATTAATATATAAATTTACTATCTTACTCATTCATAGAATATTTTAAGTAGACCTTGGTAAACTCGAGATCGGTACCCTATATTTCACAAAATCAGTAAAATAACTCCCCTCTAATATTGAATTCAATACTAATTCATTCTCATTCAGCCTTTCATAATGGCAATTTTATATTAAAATTTTGAACAAAAAAAAAAAAAGAAAGAAAAAAGGTGATAATGAGCGTTTAAATAACAAAAATATTAATTAATAAATTAAATAATTTTTATTATCTAACCTTAAATTTGTTGTTACAAAGAATTTTAGCAATGCTCTTACTATATTCTTATATAAAAGGCATTGATTGTTATTATTATTAAAAAAAAAGAAAAAAAAAACTATGCGATATTGTTTGATTTTTTATGTTAATTAAGAATTGTAATTTAAAAGATTTTAACAGTTAAATAGTTTTTTAAATTATATTTACATAACAAGAAATTATATCTTGTGAAATTTTTAAAAAGTTATGCATATGGGGGATTCTTAAAATGAGGGTGGAATATTTTTGGCAGTTTCGACATAGTCTTTTAACTTATTAATACCATCATTTCCATACCAAAACATCATCCATTGAGTTCCGGGAATTCTATGATTACCATCGGATCTTTCAAAATACCTATGAAAAAACGAATAATTATAATGATTAATTAAAAATTCGGAAGTTTTTAAACCAAAATTTATACATCAAAATTTATACATCACAAAAAATTTATATATTACGTACCATTTGTTTACGCCATTATTGCACCGTGATCGCCACATCAAATTCGGATATCTTATTTGCAATTGTTTCCATAATATGTCCGCAATACCTATTCCTTGATTGTTAGGCGATACGGCAAATTTATCTAAGTAAGGTACATCACCTTCCATAGATACTATTGCAGCACCTTGGTAATCCCCTGTTACTATTACTAAATCTAACCTCTTCTTCATTCTATCAATAAAACCTTTAGTATCCAACTTTTTCCCGAATGAAGCCTCAATAAGAGAATTTAAAGAAGGTATGTCGATGGTTGAAAGTGAATTATGATAAGTGACCGGCATACCATATCGGATTACTGTTGTAGCTGTTGATGGCGTTGTAGGTGCCATAAGTGGTAAAGATGATGAAAATAATGGTTTATCGGTGATTAGATTATTTATTAGTCCTCTAGGGGAATATGCTGGAGCCATAATTGCTGATGTAGTAGAAGGCAAGCCTTCCAAACAAGTTTTTATCATTTCAAAATTTTCAAGACCCGTTGGGTGGGTGAATTTCCATTGTGGATTCTCCTTATAACTTCTCTTAATATCCTCATATTCTTGTTGGATATTTATAAAAACATGAGATCCTTTCCTTTCTTCAGATGGAACACCGCCTTCCGAATTGATAACAATGATTTTCATGGGCTCAAGGTATGAAGTTTTCAAATCTAAACATGCGTTTGATAAAGATCTTGAAAGAGCTATCATCCCTGAATTTGGATGAATCGTTCTTTGCGTAGAAAATTCATCTAGAGCTACGGGAAGGATGATAGGAATGTGACCCAGTTTTAAGGAAGAATTTAACCATGATAATGATACATCGATTGATGATGAAATCTGTTTGATATTATCAATTTTCTCAGATTCATTATGAGCAAGATTGAAAATACCGCTATATACAGGAGTGGCCCTTCCACCTGCATTCTCTAATGCTTCACAAACATTAGCACTGTCTTCCCTCATCCATGTTGTTAATTCACTGAATCGGGAATGACCGAGCTTCAACAATTCACTCCATTCATCATTATCCAAAACAACAATCGGCATCAATCCTAAATTTTGTAAGCGAACCAATGTATTACTGATAGATTTTAAATCTAAAGAGGTAAAAGGACCTTGAACTTTAATCAAAGCAATATGTTCACATTTAGTTTCAAATAAAGAATCAACAAATTCTTTTTCTTTTGGTAAATGTTGTGGTTTTTCTAGTTGAACTTCCTTTAAATCATTTTCGGGAATAGCTGATTTCTTAATTTCTACGGAAGTAGAAGTAGATGGAACAGGGGGTTTTCTATGAGGTAATGTGAATCGTTTAATATATGACATTGCCTCCCTTTGACTAGGAGTCGTATTTAAAACTTCTAATATAAGGGACTTTGAAAAAAAAAAAGATTAATTTGAATTCAATACAAAGTTATTTACGAGCAAGCCTTTAAGAGAATATTAAGAACACATACTCTGAATTTGACATTGTTTTTAAAAATTGGAGTTTCCGTTTTTTGCTGCTCAACTAATGTCTATTCAATATAAAATAATATCATGAATTAATTTTTTATTTCCAAAGATAATAAATATTCATATCATTTTGATAACTTTACCTCTAATACTGCTTTGGAAGCATGATATTTCCGTTTATAATGATAGTATGAAGAAGTTTTTGGTATAAACTTATTATTAAGAATTAAATTCTGCGGTAATCTTATCATTTTTTATTTATATAATATGTAATGATTGATGAAAATGAAAATTCGAAAAAAGTAAAAGTAGTCTTTGATGGCAAAATACTAATTTATGTTTTAATTATAATATATTCAATGTCACATGATTCAATAGTATTTATGTCATGATCATCATCTTTTGCCACATTACATTTTTATGGTATATAAAGAAGCGCGGGAATATTATTGAGCATGTGTATCTAATCTTGATTGATTTGATTGAAGGGTATTGCGAATAAAATGATTCAATTATGATTATCAGGACGTAATCATAACGATTATCTATGATCATTTTAATCATTTTAATCAAAATGATCAAAAAATTAATATAAATTTAATATAATTATGGGAAGATAAAGCACCGACCATTTTTAATAGATGCATCTAAACTCTTTTTGAAATTAATTAATAACATTATGTACACAATAATGTACAAACAAAGTAAATTATTGTCAATAATATTTGTAGGAGTAATAACTGGTCATTAATAATGCTCGTCATTCGCTCATTATCCATGTTATTTTCAATAGTATTTATAAAATTAGGTCAAGATCTACTTTATGCATCATAATTTATAATCCGTTTTTTCTCTATCTCTCAAATTTCGGAATTCTTCTATGGAAACAATTCATCATAAATATATGCGAGAAGCTTTAAATCATGTAATAATATTAGTTTATCTAACGTATGATATTTTTTAAAAAATTAAATACGTTAAAATTTGGAAACTAACATTTAGGCACAGGAAGCATATGACAATCAAGAAATACCTGTGGGATGCTTGTTTGTACTTGATGATAAAATAATCGGGAGTGGCCGTAATAGAACTAATGAGACTTTTAATGTAATTTTATTTTTGTAACAAATTATTTATTAGTAATACAAGGATAAGAATTATTCTCCTTGTTAAATGTCAGGGGACGAGACACGCTGAATTTGAAGCAATAGATCAAATTCTTTCATCTGGTGAATATACGAGTGAAGTATTTCAAAGATGTATATTATATGTTACAGTTGAACCTTGTGTTATGTGCTCATATGCATTAAGACAATTAAGTAAGTGATTCCTTGTTTTAAATATTCCTTTTATAGGAATTCAAAGAAATTGACAAAATTTTTTTTTTTCATTTTATAAGGAATCAAGCATGTTTATTATGGATGTGCAAACGAAAGATTTGGAGGGACAGGATCTGTTTTTGATATTCATCAAGAGTACTTTTCTTATTTAAACATTTCATTAAAAGATTATTATTTTTTTTTTGATTTTTGATGATTCTAATATAAAATATTCTTGTTTTCAAAAAAATAATCATATAATTTAGTCCACAATTGACATTACATCCTGCCTATCCATGTGAAGGAGGATATTATAGAGATGAATCTATTATGTTATTAAGAAAATTTTATGTCCGAGAAAATGAAAAAGGTGACAATTTTTTTTTTTTTTTGAAATTTACTGATTAACCTCCTTAATTGATCAATATTTTAAAATTTGTTTATATTTAATTTTATACTAATTTTAGCCCCTGTGCCTAAAAGAAAACATAAACGAGTTTTAAAAACAGAAATTACACCAATGAAAAAATAATTATAGCTCGATAATAATAATAATAATTTCTTATTTTCAGTTACCAGATCACACAAGAATTATTTTTGTGATACAAAGTTCCATGAATACTTATTTCAATTATTCATGCATCTTCTGTTTATTACAATTAATAAAATTAGTTAACTAAATGCCCCCTTTGTATTGATAATACATAATTCGTATAGGAGATGTTTTGTCAAAAAAAGTCTCGCCTTAATGATTACAAAAAAAAAGAATGAGAATGAAAGTTCCATACACCATACTAGATAAGTAATTTGTACACTTGGATTGCTGAAATATTATATGCTCGAAATAAATCCCCTAAACGAAAATATGATGTGTACTTAGTTGCATTTTATATAAATTCGTATTCAATTACGGAATGATCGATTAAAGGATTGATAGAAAATTTGAGATCACCCCTTTCCGAAAACTCTAAAATTTTAAGAAATACCTCTCGTGCCACTCATGTTTCATAATAACAACATTGTGCTTAATACGTGATTACAGTGCAAAGATCTTTTCTTTTGAAAATTTTATATAATCAAAGCAAACTATATGTGACCTATATATAAATTATTCAGAATCTTATATAACTTTTAAAATTTATATTAATAGTTTCAGATTAAAATATCAATATGATGTCCACTTTGTAAACTCCAAAATATATCATATATAGGTGTAATATAATCTGGATATTCCAATAGAAAATTGTCCCATTTAATGAATCTGCTGCTATATATCTCCTGTTAGTTCTAAATAAAGCAAGTTCTAGCCTAATTAACATCAGTTTTATATCCATCAGAATGTAATATTTGTTTAATATCATAAAACTATCTTAAATGTATTATTATATAAATTGATTAATATTGTAATACCATTTGAAAAGTAGAAACAGATGTAATAATATCTTCAAAATGTTCTTTTTTCAATAATTCACAAATTACATTATATCAAATAATATATATTCCACCCATATTTTCATCTTTTTTATGTAATATATCATTATATTTTACAAGATAATCCAAATATTATTTAATGAAATTTGACAAGTTACTTTTCAATAAAAAAATATATTATAAAAAGACTATTATTTTCTTTTATTTTTTTTACATAAAAATTATTTATATTAATTTATAAAAAAATTTATTTCTTACCTAAATGATTTTTATCTTTCTGCATGTAGATTATTTTGCTAATTATTTTTAAAAAAATAATTTTTGAAATTAATAATGGTGTAGTTAGCTAAAAAAAAAAGAGCTGAATTCCTGATTGCTAATTATTTGAACCAGTTTAATTACAGAAATCCCCTGAAATTTTACATGATTTATACCTGAATCAGATTTAAATAACATTGCAGCTAATTATTTTTTGGCTAACTATAACCATTATTTGAAATTATAATTTATAATTTTACCTACTCTATAAATTTACTTAGAAAATTTTAAAGTTTACATGAGGTGTTTAAACACAGGTCATGTGAAATATAATGACATCAATGTCACACACTTGTCACACCCTTTTACTTTTCTATGTAATATATGTATTTAAGTATTTTTGAATGCTTTGCAAGTTTACTTAAGACATCAAAAGGGGTTTTAAATGCCATTTTTGACTTATATATGAAAAACTGTTTTTGCTGATCATTTTCTAAATTTTTTTAAAAGCGATTGGCAAAATCAATTATTCATAGGTAAAGTCAAAACTGACATTCAAAAGCTTTGATGTCTTAAGTAAACTTGTAGAGCAGGAAAAAATCCATTTATCTATTAATTTTAAAGTTTATACTTTTAGTCAAAATGGCAATAATCACATGACCTGGGTTCAAAAGGACCCCGGATATCTCCAAAACAGGTCATAAGTCACACTTTCGGCAGATTGGCCCATTTTTCAGGGCTCAAAAAATCGTTTTTTGTAAATATCTCGGCATCCAGTGGTCCAATTTTGATGAACTTTCTTTTAAATTGTAGAGCTAAATGAGGGCTACAAAATAAAAAAAAGTTCATTAAAATTGAATTACTGGATGCTGAGATATTTACAAAAAACGATTTTTTGAGTTTCAGCAAAAAGGGTGTTTTTGGCCAAAAGTCCATTATGACCTTTATATTAGATATCCGGGGTCCTGGTTCAAATATCTCGTATTCAAATAGAAATTGCCATTTACTTAATATCTTAAGAAAAGTTATAAATACTATTTTTAACATATTTGATAATTTATAACTTGGAAATGAGAAATATTAAATCTTAATTAGAGTGAAAAATAAATTTATTTTTAATATATTAATTTATTAAAAGCAAATAACTGAAAAATATTTAACAATTTTTAAATTATTTATTTTCTAAAAAAAGTAAAATAATTGAATTTTTAATAGAAAAAAATAAAAAATATCTGACTTTTAAATCAAATATATATATATATATATTAATAAAATAATTATAGAAAAAAAAAAGTTTTTTGTTAAAAATAAAATTCAATATTTTATTAATTTTATTATATTAAATATTCATTAAAGCAAATAACTGAAAATAACAATTTTTAAATTACATTTTTTTAAAAAATATAATGATTGAATTTTTAATAAAAAAAAAATAAGAAATATTTATTTAACTTTAATAAATTAAAAAAATATATATATTATATATTAATGAAAAAAAAAGTTCTAAAATTCAATAATTTATTTATTATAAAATGAAAAAATATTTTAAATATTATTAATAATTCAAATTAATTAACATCTGAAAGAAAAATATATTATTAATATTGCTTGAATATTAAATTATATCAATTTGTAAGTTTTCTTTATAATAATTTATATATATTTTACAAAATTTTACTTAATAAATAAATTTTACATATATAAAATACTGATTTGATCTTTAAAATTAAATTACTTAGTAAATATTAATCTAATTGCTATAAAATTATTGTTATTTGATTCCTCTTAATGAGATTATTTCAATAAATTTAAGATCATTAAAATCTGATTACTAGAATCTGTAATAATAAAATAAAGTTAAAATATTTAATATTACACAAATTTTACATATATAAAATGTTAATTTGATCTTTAAAATTGGATTGCTCAATCCAATTGTTATGAAATTACTTTCATTTAATAAGGTAAATTCAATAAATTAAAGAATATTAAAATCTGATTATTAAATTTTAAAATAATTATATTTTAATAAATATCTCTTTATAATTATAGTCAACTCTCTATAAATACATCCCCCTTGGGATCAGGTATAAGAGTGCATTTAAAAAGGATAAGTATTTATAGAATACATATAAATCTATATGATATTAATCTAAAATTAAGGTAATACAAAATCTTATAAGTAAACTATATAAAATTTTTTTATAAAGGATGCATTTACAGAATACATATATATAAAAATCATGCATTTAGCATTAAAATCCAAGTTGAAACTAAATAAAAGGTGCATTTATAGAGGATGTGCATTTATAGAGGGTGCATTTATAAAGAGTTGACTGTATATATAATTACATATATATATAATTTTTAAGTAATTTGTAAATATAAATTATAGACTTTATATATAAAATTTGAGACATTCAACTAAATGATTATATAGATAATATAATTATAATAAAAATAACTATAAAAAAAATTAACTGTATTTTATTTAATTATATTTTGTAAAAATTGCAATAGATTCAGTAATATTTTTACAGTTATAATATTTATAGCATTTCTTTAAAATAATAGTAATACTAAAATGTAAATTTTTAGAATATTTGAAATATTTGTAATTTTTTTAATCTTTTGTAAAATTTTAAAATAAACTATTATATTGTTATTCTGTTAATAAGTTAATTATAAATAATTATGTGAAATAATATTAAATATTTAGTTAAAAAAAATAGGTTTTTATAAAATTTTATATATAACAAAAAATATATAAAAATAATCTCTTAGTATAAAATTAACTACAGTCAACCCCTTTATTTATAAATATTTCCTATATAAACACTTCTCTTCTTAAAGCACACATTTTTTAGTTCCAATTTTTTATATATAAAATACTTCTTTTATAATCACTTTATTAATTATAAGTATAATCTCATCAATAATTAGTCCTATATTATAATAAATATATATAAAATTCTTCCTGCATAAGCACATAAATCATGATTTAATAAAATAACTAATAAAATATGTGTTATATACATAGTTTGCATTTTAAATTATACATAACTAGTAATTCCCTATTTTCATATAAATACGTAATTCGTAATTCTGGTAACTAATTACCAGATTTTTTAAAAAATACATAAATACGTAATTATTTATACTATATATAAATATTATTAGCTAATTATGATTTATGAATCATATACTTTTTTATATAAGTTATATGTATTTTTATATATAAAAATACTAAAACTATCAATTTTGACATTTTTTATGTATTTTTATATATTAGGGAATTTTTAGGATGCAGATCTATAAAGAATTACAAAATTTGCAATTCTTTGCATTTTTTTTGCATTTTTTTATGCATTTTTATGAAGTTCTGCAAATTTTGCAATTTCACAGATAATTGAATATTTTTTCATAAAAATCTGCAAAATTTTGCAATTTTACAGATTTCTGCAGATTTGTTAAGTAGTAATTTATAAGAATAATCAAAAGTTAAACTGTTACATTTTTAGTAGCTTATTTTTTTTTTTAGCTTTTATTAAATCTTTTTAAGGGTAGAGTGTATCACGTGATACTTCATATAGATCGACTTGTCAAATTCCTTATTACATAGTAGCACTATTTTCTGTACAATATAAACTTTTGTAATACTTAACATAAATGGATAAAATTTATATCGTTAGAAAGCCACAATTTTGAACTTTTATTTTTTTAATTAAAAAAACTTCTTTTATAAAAAAAATCTTTAAAAAACACCTAATGAAGTTGCGACTAGGCATATATGTTTTTGTGACTAGGCAATCTTGAATTTTATTGGTTGTTAGTATCAGTTGTATATTTAAAATGTAAACAAATGATCGGCAAACCTATAGTAAAATAATTTGCCACCCGCTACATATAAAAAATGATCGACATATACTCTACCCTTAAATTTAAACTTTTTTTTAAGTTTTAAATTTTACTTTTTTTTCCTTTGAAATTATTCAAATTTATTTTTTTTTTTGAAATTATTCAATTTTTACTACTTTTTTCTGTGAACTTATTCAATTTTATTACTTTACTTTAACAGTTATTTTTTCTTTAAAGTTATTTAAACTTGCTTATCATATAAATTGAAATGACAAGATTTGATAGTATATGAAACTATTTAAAAAAT